CATAGGTTTTGTTTGCATATAATTGGAAAACACAAATTTGGAACGGAAAATGCTTGAAGTCTCGCTCTTTGAAAATATAAAGAGTCAGACCCCTTGTGAAATGTCCTGCGTGAAAGATATGAGTTTTATTTCAAAGGCAAGTCCTCTCCCAATCTTTATTGTGGCATGTGGGCGTAGCATATCGGGTAGCGGTACTCGTGGGAAGGGGGAGAAGACGTTCGATTTCGAGAAAGGTAGCTCTCATACATAGTGCAGCTAGTAGATACTGACTGGAGACATGCAGCTGAATAACGAATGTCCCGGTAGAGGTGCTCCCAGAGATCTGTGTTTGGAGCATGCAGATACAGCATTCCCCGTTTATTATCAGAGCTGTCCTGATAATCTTGAATAATTGGCCAACGCACGGGCTCCCCGTACGAAGATGCGTTTTTTGCATAGCTCCCCGCAGATTTTTGTCGCTAAAGGCACTGGCTTTTCTGGCAGATGCTTCTAGCTAAAAGAATTTCAGACTGACCTCCAGGACTGTCAGGAAACACCCCTTCAAAATCCCAGTCTTCTAGCTTCTCACTTCCTCGAGTTAGAAACTTACCCGGAAGAAACTTTCAAGGGCCCGTATGTAGGTACCACGCGTACTCGCGGGCAGGGCTTGAACTCGTTAATACTTACTTGGACGGGGAATATTCCCCTAAGATTTCAGCGTTCTAGCTTCTCAGATTCCTGAGTTATGAACTTACCCGAAAAAAAATTTTGACGGGCCCGTACGCGGGTATCACGCTTAACCAGGGGATGAGTTTGAGTGCATTAACACCTACTTGGACGGGGAACATCCCTGTAAGATTCCAGCGTTCCAGATTCTCAGATCCCCGAGTTATGAACTAACTCCAAAAAAACTTTGGCGGGCCCGTGCGCGGGTACCACGCGGGTGTTGGCGCCCATTTCGGGGATTGGGGCCGGCACGTGCATGTAGATTAATTTCCCGAAATTTCAGCCCCACAGCTTTTATAGGTCTTGAGATGAAAGTGCGTGACATACGCACACAAAGACAACCCCTCGTCAATATGCGTTTTCTGCATTGCATAACTGCAAAAAACGCATAAAAAGTTAGCAGTTAGAAGCGTTTTGCTTATAAATCTCAGGACAGAGAATGTAGACTTTCACGCATTTCGAGTAGGAGGTGCAGAGATAGCGAAGGAGGAGGGATTGTGGCCTTGGGCCAGTGACCTAGAATTTAATATTATTTTTAATTTTTCCTGGCCATTGACGTAATCATTATTTTCGCATGTAAAATTTTGAAATTTTAACTTCATCCGTTTTAAGGATCTGTGG